TAGCTGCCTCATGGAGACGATAGATGTGTTCGGACTGCCATCTTCAGTTCCTCTGCCTGCAGGCTGCCTCATGCTGTGTGCATTCTCAGATATCCCCACGAGAATGCATTCTACATATACGACACGATCACCCAGAGCTTCGTGGACTTCCATAGAATGTACGCAAGGACCGTATCATGTTTTTGACACCCGCATAGTTAACCTACTAGCCGCATGTTTGGGCCTCTCCCCGTTCATGGCGCATGACTAGTATACCTGCTGTGTTTTTGTCTCATCGTCTTTATCCGCACAGATGTCTGGAACAGAAGCTAAAGCGCCTCAAGACACAGCTCAGAGGACGCGAACGGGACAACCTGGCAAGTCACCAGCGACCCTCCCCTCGTTGCACATTCCTTACTGTCTGCGATGTGGCTATAGTGTGACCCAGACTCTCGCAGAGCACATGCTTACCTCCTTTGCTGGTTTAGTTTGCTTTTCGTGCTGCGCCGCACAGGTGGGACAGTCGGACCAGCAAGAACTTGAACTAGAGATCTTCGAAATCGAAACCGAACTGGCGAGACTCCGCGAAGCCGTGCGTTTTCCAACTTCATTTTCCGTTTCTACAAATATCATGAAGATCTGCCTGAAATATTTCAGTTAGAAAACCAAGTGCAAGTACCGGCACCCAGTCTTAAGACGAACACATTTTGCCTGTATGGGAGTGTGCGGGCTTGGACTGTTGCAGGGTGGCGGATACCGACGGGAGGTATGTGATGATCCCCAGGCTGGCTTCGGCTACGCACTTGACGTGCAGCGCGGTGAGTTGGTATGTCGGCTGAAGAAGACGAGCACCTACTTCGACCGGAACCAAAGCCTGTTGTGGTTCGACAGTTTCTCAGTGCTTCCCACCCTCAACTTGGCCCTCCCGCTGGTTTGGGGAGAGGCCAAGAAGAAAATAGCCGTTCTTAAGGTGAGACACTGGACAGTGCAGAGCTGCAACGATAGCCGTGAAAGCCTCGACGGGGCGTGTAGTGGGTGTGTTGCTACTTAGGCTACTCAGGGCTCCTTACGGTGTTGTTCAGGGATGGGTGAGGGTGACAGACATTACTTCAATGGAAAATGCCCTCAGTATTACTCAAGACAATGCGACAGGTGGCTCTGCGGCCGACAATGCAACAGAGACCCGACTACAGCGCGTGCATCAACCAGCAAGCAGTATCGCTTCAGGCGCGTCTACAGTGGCTACAGCTGGCTATCCGCCGCCAGCAGTGTTGATTGCACCTCCTATGCACCGCTGGATGGAAGAAGTGGTGGTTGCGCACGTTTACGTCTTGACAGCGCGAAACCTGCAAAATGTAGACGCAATAGGAATGAGCGATCCATACTTAAAACTGCAGCTCGGACAGCAGGTTGTTGTCTCTGACCGAGTGTTTGACGGGTGAGCCTGCGAAGTGCGCGAAAGCAGATAAACTGCAAATTTCTGGTTTATAGTTCAGGTTGAAAGTTGGGGTGTTTCAAGGTGGCCAGACTAGCAATGCTGCTCACGCACTGCAGCGTGAATGTGTCATTTCCGTAGCTTTGCTCTCCTAGTGCAAGCGGCTTTACCTGTTTTGGTGTTTGTGCAGCAACTGCAATCCGAATTTCTACGAGCACTTTGTCTTCCGCGTGCTGATACCTGGACCTGCCGTTCTGAAGATAATTGTCATGGACAAAGGGGATGTGCTGCAGAGCGATTCTCCACTAGGAACAGTTTCTGTCGACCTAGAAGAGCGGTACTGTGATGCCACTAGATCAGTAGTTACGAGGACACCGTTCAGTGTTTCTGCGAGAATATGATGAGTACAAATTGGTTACCGAATGGAACTATCTTTGCTTTTATTCTTCTGCTTGCTGCAGCTGGTTGGCACTAAGAGCTTCCCGTATAACTCAATATCAAAAGATGTGGTACGTCTCTAGGGGCTCCAGCTGCCACATTAGGAGCTTGCCGCCTCGGCAACACAATCATG